CCAAGTTGGGCAAGCAGCGAGGCGTGACGAGTAGGGCCCAACGTGGGAGACCAGGAAATAAGCGGTAGTTTGAAGTCGCCAGTACAAATTAGGACGAATGAAGAAGAGCATTTTCAGTGAAGATAATACGGAACAAGTCAGCAATAAAGGCAGGAGAGGAGGCCGGTTGTAGACAGACACAGCCTACTAGTACAGGTCATTTGTACTGTTTATGAAGTATGGATAATATGAACTTTTCGCAGCAACGATCAAGCATTAAACGGCATTATTAATTGGGCATTTGGCGACCGAACCGTACCAATTAAGTATTTACCAAGCTGTACTACGGTGCAGTTCAATACTACAGGGAGATGAGGGAAGGTGCAGGTGCATGCAGTAGGGTTGACCAGGGATGTGTTCAGAGTCGGTCGAGGTGTATTCCGCGCTGGTAGTACAGGGTGAATTAGGTCTGATTAAACGATAAAAGGTAGGGTATGAGGCTCATCATGGAGTGCCACATGTCTCTGGGATGTAGGCGTGCAGGCAGGAGGAGAGTTTGGAGACGTGAAGTCATTCGCATCGGTAGGAGGTATGAAGAGTGATACGGTGCAATAAAGGAAGTGAGTGCGAGTGGATGGATAGCAGTCGAAAACTGTCCAAAAATAGGTAAGCAGGATGGTGGAAGCAGGTATCAGCAGATGCGAGATTTAAACAGGCACATGGTACGTGTGGTTTAATGTGCTTGTTGTGTAATTATGAGGGGGCCATGGCAAAGTCGGGTTATCTTGTGAAGAGCGAGAGAGATTTTCATTGTTGCATGTCAGAGGGCGTCACGTACTGAATCTTCGACAATCAATGTTTGAGTCCAAAGGTGTATTTTGGTGGAGGTGGGAAGTAAAAAGACAGTAGGTTAGAAGTTCTGGGACTGCAGCAACTGCTGTCTACTGTAAGTGTGGTCATCGCTCTGTTTGGGAAGTGTGCCACTTCAGTCGTTTCAGGATCAGGAGAGAGTTTGTTAATGCTCTACTAGAACCCGAAAACTAGTTGTATGAACGAGAAAACGGAGAGTACTAAAATGTCTGCTTGTTGAGTAAAATTATTACAACAGGTATATATGCAAACAAGGGACTTATCTTTTTACAGGTACAGTTTGATAAATCCTGTTGTAAGTCCCGATGCAGGTTTCGTGTCTTCTTCGCTGTCTTAACAGCCACACGTAGTCCTGGATATCTGTGAATGGAGCGCCGTAAAGTCCTGAGTGGCTCTGCTCCGAGCTGGGCGACGTGCGAAGCTCTATTTGGTTGTTGTGTGTTGCTGTGCTGTTATCCTATATGTAGGAACGTTTGCGTGTGTGTGGGTGTCAGCACATGACTTGTTGTTACCTTATCGGACGGTAAACAGTCGATGTCAGATGAGTCACCTTTGTGTGTCGTGATTTGTACGTGTAGGGAAAAAAGGACGAGTCTTGGGATCAAGGGCTTGACTGTGAGCTGTGTAGTCAAGTTAGTCACGATTCTGTGGCGTGAGTTGTGAGTGTAAGAAAAAGAAAGATCTCGTGATCTAGCGAGTGGTGGTGACCTGTACGGTCATGTATGTGACAAAAGGGTAGATACAAGTTCCACTATCTGACGGGGACATTAACAGTTTTTGTGGTCGGGAAATCGGAAAGCCGATTTGCAGGGGCGATAGATGACTCTGTGTCTTACAGTCTATGAGGCTATGTGTTACTAAATATTTTCGTGTGGGTCCAGTGGCGGAAGCAATCACANGATGAGTCATCCTTGTGTATCATGGTTTGTACGTGTAGGAAAAAAAACGAGATCTTGGGATCTGGGGTTTGACTGTGAGCTGTGTAGTCAAGTCAGTCACGGTTGTGTGGCCTGATTTGTGAGTGCAAGAAAAAAAAGATAGATCTCGTGATCTAGCGAGTGGTGGTGACCTGTACGGTCATGTATGTGACAAAAGGGTAGATACAAGTTCCACTATCTGACGGGGACATTAACAGTTTTTGTGGTCGGCAAATCGGAAAGCAAGCCGATTTGGGCGATAGGTGGCTCTGTGTCTTACAGTCTATGAGGCTATGTGTTACTAAATATTTTCGTGTGGGTCCAGTGGCGGAAGCAGTCACAGAAAATTGAGAGTATGGGGGTACCATAGGATCGTCCACGTAGCTACTGGTGGTTGATGGCGAAACAGGTTCAGTTACAGCGGCATGTAGGACCGGGTTTACAGGGGAACAAGATGGTAGGCAAAATTAGATTGGACGCGTTGAATAATTGGTTTTAATGACAGAATTTTATGCGCTGGGAAACTTCAGAGGTGACTGTCAATAAGAGTTGACGCTTATTATGACTGGCTGTGTTCCGTCAGGTCTTGGGAGACATGCAATGGGCTGCATAAACCCCCTCGTGCAGACTGCCTCCGAGATTTTCCAGGTTTTTTGAAAGCGGAGATCCTTCTGGTAGCGGTAATAGAAGAGAGTTGCTGAGTTGAGAAGGCAAAGAGAAGTCGGCTGGTTCCACTGAACAAACTAAAATTACTTGGAACGCCCTGCTCACTTGCCTCGAAAGGTGAGGGGTTTGGAGCTTATTTGAACATATTGAGGAGACGTATGATGGAGGTTCATGGTCAAAAAACCGCTTAGATGAGGAGCGTGGTAGCGGTGGCATAACTTTCACTTTGGCGTATTCTTATAAATGTTTATTCGAGGGAATAAGGAGGGGAATACTCTGGAGTTTTCAAATTGTATTCCGAAGGCCTCAGTAAGTCTTATTCATCTATGTGAGTTGGCAGTTTAGATGAGATCATAAAAACGTAGCTCGGTAGCAGTATGTCAACAGGAGGGATTATGTAGATGAGGACCGAACGTGTTCGACGCACTTGGGAATAGAGACAGGTAGGCAAGTTAGCAGGCACACATTCTTAAAGGACTGAACATTCTCGCTCGTCCTCTTGAACTTTCCTGGATTGTCCTTGACTGTTACATAAGAGTAAACAAACACTACAGATCGATTCCACAATTTCCGTAATAAACCTCATCGTCCAGCAGATGCAAGGGCGGGTTTTGAAACCGGAACATAGGCTATCCGCATTCTTCATAGGTGGTATGAAGAGTCCTACGCCTTTAACCTTCAAGGGTCACGTGGATGCCACCGATATTTCCGTTGCTACCGTTAGGTTGACTTCAGCATCTGGTATATTCGACACCTCTTTAAGCGTAGCATGCCACTTCTAGAGCAAGGCACGTTTAATCTATTTGCTCCTTGACCTTTCTGAATTGTTGAAACGATTCCTCGTCGGCCACTGACAAAAAAGAACCTTGCTACAGACTGTCAGCATCTGCGACCACAGCCTACTCCTTCGGGGATCCCGATAATCCTTCCCTTGCCTCCTTCATCTAAAGGGACTATTCAAGTCTCCTCATCCGTCGCCTTCCTTCTAGACGTCAAGCATCGACCTCTCCTTATTTTCGCTTCTAGTCCCCAATAAACAAGCATATTGTCGGCCACAGTCCAATATTCTTATCAAGTGGAAGGCGCGGATGTCAACCGTACGTCAACACGAACGGGAACTTACCTATGGATGACTATCTGGGAGCACGATTTGCTAACAACATCATCGTCAAGTTCACTTCCCAGTCATCTCCCTTGGCAGCCAGCCACTCACTGATCTTTCGATTTTTGCCTTTGGTCAGGCCGGAATTTTCGCCGGTAATGGGATGCCGTCCTTAGCCTCACGATGCCAATCATTTGCATCTGCCGGTATTTTTAATCCCAAAGCAATGCGCCCGATCCCTTAGAATCATGCTCACTACCACGGAGTTGGCTAGGATGTGGTGAAATACCTATTTACTGAAAGTTGTTGCCAGTTGATTTCGTACGGATATCGCTTCGATCCAACTCAACTGGTGCTCTGTCGTAATTACGATTAATTAATTTCCCTTAGTTGTCACCGGAAGGGGTTTGTCAAGTCAGCGGGCCTTCGCTCACTGGACTCTGATACAGCGGTAAGTTCCACGGGACAAGTTGCACTTACCATACCCCTTCGTCAGTTGGCACCGCTTACAGGTCACCACATGATCCATTACCAGACTTCACATTCCTGGCCAGTAGGCTCCTCACCAAGGTAGGTCGTATGTCTTGATGCACTCCGTGGTTGCCATCTCATGGCATTTGCGCATCAGAATCAGCGTCATGGCGAGAGATATCGCAGCTAGAACATTTGGCACCGCTACAGGTCACCACATGATCCATTACCAGACTTCACATTCCTGGCCAGTAGGCTCCTCACCAAGGTAGGTCGTATGTCTTGATGCACTCCGTGGTTGCCATCTCATGGCATTTGCGCATCAGAATCAGCGTCATGGCGAGAGATATCGCAGCTAGAACATCCAAATGGGCGGAGTCCTAGGATAGTATGCCAGCCTCCCTCGGGTTCAACCTATTTAAGTGACTCTTGAACGCCTCCAGTTCTCTCCCCTTTATTCAAAAACGGTAGTTTTCTTATCTTAAACCACCGTTTGAAACTTCCCAGCAAGCCTTCCGGACACAACAACCAACAAAATAGCACGACGTACATTAACGCACAAGTCCAGGTCCAAAACACTTGTACACGTATATAAAGTGTATGCCACGACAATACTCCCGACCACGTCTTCTGAATGCGCCGTCACCATCCGGAATCAGGCAAATAGCGAGTCATGAATGGCTGTTGGGCACAATCTTTCGACCAATCAAAGATCTTCCTGATGATGAACCCGTAATTGGCTCAATTATTTGCCAATCAAGTGGGAGACATACTTCCTGGTTAGAGCAGCGTCTGAGAGCAAAATCTGTGCGGCATTTCGCCTGACACTCCCCGTTCTAAATACTTCTCCCATCCCACAAGGTGGCTTCAGCCTTCTTAGGTTCGGGATTCTGCTACTGTAACCCCAACAAACTTCCGAGATCCCGTCTGATGACGAGGCCATTACAACCGATCATGATCTTCCTGGCTTGGTTTCCATTCTCTTATCTTAACAGCCGATTGGCTGTGTGGTTTACCTTCCTCGGTACCTGCCGCATCGTGTAGTTGTTCTCCTGTAACCGGAGTAACCAACATAAGTCCTTCTGTGGGGGTCTCTTGTGCTCGTGATCCACTCAAGAGATTTATGACCTGCCGCGGCGTGAAAAGTCTGATCCAGCAAGCGTGGCGTCTACTCGCCCTGGGCCCAGACAAACGTTAAACGTTTCTCTTCTGTGGATAGTTCTGCTCAGCATTGGTCGGGATATGACCAACTTATTCGACAATGCCAACTCTCTGCTTTAGAGTCATACCGATACATTGTTCATTAGCGTCCGTTGCAACGGTAAAATTTTCCACCACATTGGACAGTTTGGGTGTCAGTTGCTGAGCCGGTAACCGCGCCTGAACATGTTCGAAAGCCCCCTGCGCTTACATTGTCCGTTGAAACAATGAGGCGTGATATCGCACAGAAGAGCAGCAACTGTATCGTGATCCTTGACACATCAACTGTTATATGCTGCTCGTCGAGGGAACCGTCATGAGAACCGCCTTGAATTGGGGAACGCGCAGTCCTGGATGTTTTCTGGTTTCTTGGCGGTGGATCAACTTCACATTGATCCATTTTTTTCTACAACAGTGCCACCAAACTCCCAATGAGCTCCCTATACTTCATTTGCTAAATAAAGCACAAAGAGCCGGGATGTGAATGATGCCTCCAAATAACCAAACGTCATCCGACTAGACTGAAATTGGGTGTTCCTAACAGTGAGAGCCTTTTTCTTACAATTCCCTGACTTATTGGCTAGCCGCCTATCTGGAACGCAAGTCAAACTCCGTGGAATATCGGGATTGTTGGAGCTAATCGGAAATCTCCGAAACCAAACAGACAGCTAAAACAAGATGTAAGATCTAGGTGGTTATGGATCTCACAGGACGATTGAGGCTATTAGACTATACGCTGTTCGTAGCCAGTAGTTAATAGGAGCAGACAGGCGCGGGCATCAGATGATGTATTGAAGACTGATAGTTACTGGTTCTACGGACAAACGGATTAGTAAGCATCATGAATTAAGCAAACGTACAATCAACAATGACGCAATCAGCAGGAGTGGGAAATAGTCACTGACGTAGCACGGATTTCTAGAAGCAACTACAAGTAAGCACCAAACGATGTACGGGCATACATGTAGGGGCAGTCTGACAGTGTGGGTTGGCCGTATAAAGAAATAACGGTACAGAAATTCAGTACGTTTGAAATGTGCGGGACTGCCTTTCGGTCGGCGGTGCGACGCGGCAGCTCGTGTCACCTGACAGGTCAGACTGCGCGGTTTCTTCCGTTAAAAACAAATCTCGCCAAAGGCTATCTGGCAGACGCGGTACATCGGTAATCCAAAATAATAGACCGTTCCGGGCGTCGGGTCGATGTATTGGATGGCGCATTCGTCTGCCGTCCGGAGACTCAGGGTACGACACCCGGTCGGTCAGCTTTTCCGCCGGAGTGAACGCTCACAAATAGGTTCGATCGAGACGAACTTGCAAGCGATGACAAACGGGCAACAAAATATTGACATCAGTTACTGAGGGATAAGCAGACATTAAGTAGGTACGAAGCAGGGTGAAAACGAGCAGCAAGGAAACGAAACGGTGTCATAAGAAACAGGTGCAAGTACCGTCAGTAATGAGTAGTCAGAAAACAAGGAAAGTTACCGCTGATCACCGCTGATTCGCAGGGGGAATCAACACACGGTTTACGGCCAGCATATTTAAACGTGAAAAACCAATGCATAATGGGTGTTTTTAACTCCTTTTCGTCACAAACAAACCCGGGTAGTTTTACTCTTCCTAGACGGTGCCATTTTCCTTCTTCACTTGAACAAATTTATGGACTTCCTCTCGTAGATATGGAGCTAGCTGGTTTGAGTCACAAGTTGGGAAGCATTCGGACGACAGAATAATTTCGTGTTCAATCCCCAAGCAGAAGCAAGCTTAGTCCCTGTAGCCTGTAAACCAGTGTTTCCTCGACCGGAAACTCACTGAGGGAACATTAAAAGATGAATGCTTTCGGGCGCGCATTTCTCCAATTAAATTAAACCATTCGGTCTCCAGTAGAGCTGCCCCCGGAAAAACCTTGAAATCCTCCGGGATAGTTCGCACATTACCGTCCTCCAAATGTGGTGGCCACATGACCTACTACCATTATTCTGGTCGCGGCACCAAATAAAAGGAAGATGCCGATAAGCAAGAAAAACTAACAAGGCAGCCGCGAGTCAATAGAAAGGAAAGAGAATGCTTCTTATTCACATGGTCATTATAAATCAAACATTCTCCTGCCTCCTTTGGAGCATTCTTGCATATTCATTGGCTATTACACACCAGCAAATAAGCACCGCAAGTCGACCTAACAATTCCCGTAATGAACTTAATCTTTCTTTAGATGCCGGGGCGAAGCTTGTACACCAGACCACAGACTGCTCGCAGGCTTCACTTGATGCACCGTTACGGCAGGATAGTTCTCTTGATGCACGGCTCTCGATGAGCTCATCCATGGAGCCAAAAATGAGGACCTACACAAGCCGTAGGTTCACACTGTTCTGGGAATCGGTGCTCCAGCTTGTCCATGTCAACATTGTAGAATGCCCTACTGGCCGACGTTTCTGGAAGCACGCCTGTGCACTTTGTGGAAAGCCTGATGTTTAGGCTTGAAAAAATAAATTAATCATATGCCCACTCATAATGCAGAGAAGCCTTGAGATCACCACCGCAACGCGTGGAAGGTTCGCCACGTGAAACGATGCGCAATCTGGCGCACATCAATGGTCATTGCAACAAAAGCACAGGTCACAAAACACCTCAAAACATCAAATCCGTGTCTCTATACCGCAATCTGGGTTTAAGTGCACGACCTGTGACCACCAACGGCGAGTCAAATTTCTGGGTCATAGCTCCTCAAATTCATTTATCATCCGGTTAACCTGCTTAAGCAGGACATCGAAAGTCAATGGCGGTAACTTGAGAACACGCGTGAGCAGTATACCTTGTTCCGGTAAATAGTAATCAGGCAACCACCGTTGGCACATAGGGAAGCAAACTGAGAAAACATCTATGAATAAAATTTCTCATTGCTTGGAGTGGACTGGCCGATCGATATTCGGAAAATGGACAAAACCAAGTCTTATCGTCTGGTGGAGGGGGCGCCTGGATATACCAACGCATATGTCAGCCTTCTGGTAACGCTGAGATTTTTCAACAGGAAATATGTTAGTTAACTCACATTTATATCAGTGTTAGTCCTGACAGAATGGCTGTTGCAGTCGCTGCACCGAGCGACTAAGGCACAATGAAAGACACGCGAGTTCAACCGGCAGGCAAAGTTAAAAACGTAGTAATCGCCTTCCAGGTATAATAACGTGTATATCCTTCCCACATGAACTGGGACACATCGTGCATGGCATATGCTAGTTCGTCTGACGTCTGATGGTCACATGGCTACAATGGACCATCCAGAATTGTGTGCGCACGGCCCATTTGCAGATCATATACGACGCTAAGTGTCCGCACACTGGAATTGAATTTTCAAAGATACGACGAGGCCCTGATGGACTAAAAGAGAGGCAACGGGGTTTGTTGTACGAGTCCAAGCACTTGAGACCCACACAAGCATCCCGGTGTTCGATCAATGCTACGAAAGTATTCCACCGGAATGTTTCCGCCAGGGGTCTGATTGCTTCATTGGACAATGAAGCTTGATGAGCTGAGGAAATGAGAACGTGTTGTTGTGAGCACACACGCAACAAAATACAACATTTCGGCGCAAAACCTTTTATTCTGTTTGCCAAGGTCTGGCACGGCTGGTCTGGTACGGCTGATGGGACCTTTTACAACCAGTGGCCCGTAACTGAAATTGAATGCACGCAAAAAACAAGAATGGAGAATAAAGAATATTGATTCAAACAAACGCAAGAGAGATTGTGATGATTTCCGGTTCGAGAAAAATGCAACATTTTTCACGAAAATTATAATCGAACCTTGAAGACCTTAAAAGAACGGGCATCTGCCGTCAAAGGATAAGTTTCGTCCACGGTTTTGATTTCCAATTCGACTCAACTGGTTTCATTACTAAAATGGTCGTGCCGCCTGCCTCATTTTATTAGTATTTTTCTACATTTTACAATTGTTTACCAAGTTATAACCCTGTCTCTTTTGTTCTGCCCTTCCATCCGCTGTGTTTTGCCCCCACGTTTGAATTGTAAGGGACCAATCCTCCCTTGTGCGCTCCGAACAATTTGGGGAATAAACCTATTACAAGTATCTTCGGCGCCGGCCTGTCAGTCCGTTGAAGGTTGTGGTCACCGCGCTGGTAAGTGAAGCTTTGTAGTCACCAGAATATATTAGGGCGCTGAGTTCGTGATGCGCGGAAAAGGTTCTACTAGTTTTGGATAACCTCTGGGACGGGGCCACGATGTCCCCTGTCAGATGACGAGATGATCGTGATTCCGTCTGTCACACCATGTCTGGTGAAGAGGTGAACTTGTAGACACTAGTTTTCAGGATGAGAGTTGGTGGTTTGCTGGGTGCTGTAACGTGGAAGGAAGTGTTGAACTCCAGCCAGATGGCAGTCGATAGTTCAAGCGTTTACTCAGGGGTGGGCCTTATCAACACGGAAAATGTGTTGGTGCCCACCTGGCTGTTCTGGTTGTGCAATTTTTGTTCCACGGGGGTCCACAAGGCTCTCACGGAACAACCTTGAATGGCTGCAGGGGTGTGGCAGTTAAATTTAGGCGGCGGATGTTTCGGAGTTATTTTCCAGGTTGCACGATGAATAACAGCAAATTGTGTACAAATGAGAGCTGAAAAACCTGAGTTTCCAATGTGAATGAATACTGCCCAAAATACGCAAAAATAGAGGAAGAAGTTTAAAAACGAAACAACCTTGTAAAAAATTCCCGCTGGTCTAAATGAACAAGAATGCAGTGAAAAGTGAAGAAAGTGAAGCAGTATACAAAACTCATCGTTATTAAGAAACATAGGGGATGATATTTCAGCCACATTTTGCCCGGAATTCAAATGTTCTCGACCGGTAACGGATTTTCAATGCTGTAGAGTTGAGTTCAACTCCAAGGAGCCAGTTATCGGGCTATCAGGTTAATACCAGCAACTGAAAACAAGACGCAAAAGCACTCGTCGCTGTTTGCTGGGCTCCGTCGACCAATGATCCCTATTGCCTTATATGATATTTCAGTTTATGAGGATGTTCGATTCATCATGAGATCAAGAAAAAATAAACGGATTATCCATCTGCCTGGAGACAATTGTGGCTGGTCTTCTTTTGTCACAATAACCAAGACCCATTGGGAAGCTAGGACTGCACTGGTCGATGCTTTACTTTTCATCTCCGCTCGGGCTTTGAACCAATGAAACAAATTATCAGAAGGCAAAGAGCGTCGTCTTCGACCACTGCGTTTAAAAAA